GGCTTCATTGGCCAGTTGTTAAGAAATATGACCTCATTTTTTCTTGGAATAAAGAATTTTCTTCCTAAAAGATAAATTATAAACAGTATGCATGGAAGCAATAGAACCTCATATTTTTCCATATCTTGACCTATGTCATGAGGAGTTTGTTGTGTGATTTTTGGTTTGTTCTTGGGTTTTGTTGTTGTTGTTTTGTGGTGGAGAGTTGGGACAGTTCCACCTGACTATGCTTAGTATTTACTCCCAGCTGTGCTTGGGGTTGGCAAGACACTATCTCTCGAACTGTCTCTCTGGCCTCTTTTCCTATTTTGAAGTGTTTCTTCCAGAGGAAATGAAATAAAAATTTCAAAGTATCAAATAAAACTCAACTCTCTTGGATATTGTTGCCAACAAATATTGGTATGACATGGGATCAGAACTGAACCATGAACAAACCCTTCTTGTTCCTGTTTTCCTATAATTAGTTATGGGTTGGGTTCTTTGTGGGAATATTGGAACAATATCATGGAAGAATGCTTTTGAGCTGTGAAAATTGTATGTTTAGTATGTGATTACTTTTTTTTTTTTTTTTTTTTTTTTTTTGCTTTTTGGGTCATACCCGTTGATGCACAGGGATTACTCCTGGCTCTGCGCTCAGGAATTACTCATGCCTGGCAGTGTTCAGGGGACCATATGGGATGCTGGGAATCAAACCTGGATTGACAGCATGCAAGGCAAACGCCCTACCCACTGTACTATCACTCCAGCCCCATGTGATTACTTCTGAATACTATTTTGAATAGAACATTTGTAAAAAGACTCCATTAAAGGACTATTTTGTTGATGCCTGTTCCAGGGAATTCTGACTTTCCTGCCTCAAACCAATCGATTAATTTCTGGCCACTTAACAAAAAGAGGGTCTCCCTTTCACTGGCCAAGTATTCCCCAAGACAGTGTCCCACTTTCATTATCTTATTATATATTCCTTCTCAGTTTCTTTATTTATATCAAGCCAGCATATGTTCAATAGTTCCTTTTACATATATACTCATTTTATTTTTACAAAGGCCTTACTTTCAGGTTCTAATTTGTCTGAGAGGCTTTGATCAAAATCAGGATAGCAGCAGTCAAGGTTAGTTGTCAACCAAGAGCTCTATTTTGATGCATTTTTGCAGGTTTTAGGACAGGCTGTTCTTGAAGGAAGAGAAGCTTGAGTATGTACTAGGCTGCAGGATAAGAAAAATGCTGCTTTTGACTGTTTTGACCTGTGAGACTGGTTGTTTCACTTTGCTCAACCTAAGTCAACTGAGGTGGATTTTTGCCTCAGGGTGGTACCACTTAAACCAGGTTCAGAGATTGATGTTTCAGACAAAATGCTATTTTTACATTTTGTAATGATCATTATAATTGCCACAGGAAACTGCTACTGAAATACTTTCGCCAGAGTGACAAAAAGGGGAAAGACAAGCTTGTTCTTCTTTCTTCAAAAATACATTCTATGTTCTATCAAAGAATGAATATTTCTCTCTCTTTAGAGGGAAAGAAGACTTAAAAATGCTCATAAAATATGTGAAAACAAAAAACTAGATATAAATTACTTAGATGCCTAAGACTTAGAAAAAAGAAATGCAGTGAAACCTGCAAGATGAGTACAAATCACAAAACCATTGCAATTTAAATGAGCCACACTGATTTAATATGGCAGGTTTGTTTTTCTCCTTCCAATTAACTCAGAGATTGCATTATTGATATGGTATTGATTTTTAAAGAAGAGAGTCTTGTGAGTCTGCATGAGTAAATACACATATGCTTACAATCACTGTTTTCTCACTCTATTGTGAAATCTGTCTGCTTCAGCAGACCATTTGGTCAGTAAATGACATGAATGTGTCATTAAAGCATTAAGATCATCATCATCTCTTTTAGACAGAATTTCACATTTCATAATTAAAAAGGATTTTTTTTACAAAGAGTACTATCTGGTATCAGAACTAACTCAAACACTAACACAGACATTCTCTCTGTTCATGTTTGTGGGGATTCAGAGTTGAAGTTTGGCAGATGGATTGAAGAGGACATCCAACACCTTCTGTTAATTCCTCCACTTCAGGGATTACATTGGCTATTTACAATATATTGCTTATATCAATATAAAGGACTTTTTAGAATATCCAATAAGCAAAATAGATAGAAAAGGACATTTTATTCACTACTATTTTAATATTAAGCATATATTTGAGGTTCATTTTCAATCTATGGTTTAAGTCTTACATTGACTGAGAGTGTATCCTCCTACTTTTTCTTGGAGTGGTTTTTATACTATGAAGCATCATTAGATTAGAAGAATATCACCAAGTTCCCATCCAAAACTTCCATCTCTTAATTGCTGACAAAGGATGCCGAGCTTCAGCTTTTATGGATGTAAAAAAGTTAAGTAATGACTCAGGGTTTAAGTAATTGTGGAGATTTTGAATATTAATTTTGCAATGGATATTGCCAACATATCACTTTACTCAAAAGAACTCAAGAGAAACATTGTGTTAGGGCGCGGATCGTGATCTCCCTTTAACGACAAAGAGACTCCAGAGACTGCAAACAGCAAGCAAGGTTTATTGTAAGACTGGCTAGCCAGGGTCAAGCCGCCTACACAGACACGCAGGTCAGTTAGGTGAGGCAAGACCCCGAACTTCTTCAAAGGGGATCTTATATAGGCCTTCACTGGCCGTTACAGCAAAGCCCGCGCATTTCATAGCCAGTAGATTTGTAACAACATATGCTTTCTTAACCAATCCATGTAAAAGTACATCACTCCTTAGCCTATAGATTCAAAGATCAGCATTTACGTACATAGGCATTGTGACTAGTGGGCATCAGGTAACTTGGACATTTGGTTATCACCTGGCTTCCTCTGATTCTCAGCCCTGCATTCCGGAGGTGGATAAGGGAAGAGTTCCTAAGGGAGGTAACAGATAAGGAGGGCAGGAAAGGGAGAGTTAAAATTTATAGAGTTTTAACTCTGGAATCTCCCTCAGGGTCCGTAGGGACCTAACATTCCTCCCTTTCTCTACTTCATATTGAGGAATCTTTCTCAGTGGGCTCTTCATACAGAGGAGTAATTTCCTCAGCGGGCCCCAATGTCTGATACTGTTGCCGTAGGACCAAGAGTTGAACTGTATTAATTCTGTCTTTGACAAATACCACAAGACGATTTAAAATGTAAGGGCCTATAGTTACCATAAGTAGGATAATTACCACCGGTCCAGCTAAAGCAGATAGGAGAGTGGCCATCCACGGGGATTGATTGAACCAAGACTCAAACCAATTCTCCCGGGCCTCGCTTTCTCTTCTACGTTGTTCGAGGCCTTCCCGCAGCTTGGCCATAGAATCTTGGACAACCCCAGTGTGGTCAGCGTAGAAACAGCACTCCTCTCCCAAAGCGCAGAGCCCTCCATTCTTGAGGAACAATAGGTCTAACCCCCTCCTGTTCTGTAGTATGACCTCAGACAAGGAGGTCAAGGATCTTTCAAGCAGGCTAATAGACTTTTCAATGCGGTCCAAGTCCTCATCTACCACTGCCCTGAGGGACTGCAAGCCAGAATGCTGTGTGGCCAGGGAGGCGATGCCAGTGCTTGCCCCGGCCAACGCTATTCCAAACAAGGTGGCAAGGGTCAGGGTGGTGAAGAGCTCCCTCCTAACTCGAGGATGCTCTCCAGGTTGTCCAGACCGATAGGAAATAAGAGTCTCGGCGGGGTGGTAAATAATTCTAGGCATCACCAGCACCATCAGACAGAATTCCCGCGAGGCATCGAATACTGATCCAGCCAGTTGAGGAGTGAGCCCAGAGAGTGAGCACACCCACCAGGCTCCAACAGATGGCGTGACCCACACTGAGCTGTTCCAGCCCGGATCAGGATCTGTATGGGCACATAGTCTAGCTTTCTCAGTTGGAACTGTACCTATACATCTCCCTTGGCCACTGACCTGAGTTATGGTTAAGCCAGTACTGGGGCGAGGGTCCCAACCATCGGGGGGGGGGACAGAGATGCTGACATTATATGAGGCATTGAGCCCGATGGCCTCATAAAAGGGGGGTGCAGGGTTAAAGCATAACCAGCATGATTCCGTCAGATTTGGGGCTGTCTTATTCAAAGACACATAAGCGGCATGCAGCAAAAGCTCCAAGGAGCTCAGGGATTGAGACTGGGGGGTGATATCCCTGGTCTGGATGGGACTGGCAGCACTCAGTGATCAGGGTTGAAGGGTGGTACCCGTGGCTTGGCTAGGGCCAAGGGAGCCAGCATTGGCAAATGCAGAGCTTCCCAGGGAGGTCGGGGCTGGCCTAAGTCTCGTGGGGCCCAGCTTGAAACTAGGTAGCCTCAATATGGTGTTAGGCCCCACTGGAGTGGAGATTGGCCCAAAGCGGAGCAATATTTGGAATAGGATTCCCCTCCAAGGTTTTTTGTAAGGCAAGAGGCCCCAGGTTAGCCCGTTCACCCACCTCCTATCCTTCTTTCCGGCCTCAGTGAAGGAAATTCGGATTTGGTTGGACCCCGGGACCGCTCTCCCCTGCTGAAAAGGGTGGATAAACTGCATATTGATCAGCTCCTGAGCTACTGGCCACCTCCATTCCCCGTCATTAGCCACTACACATTTCCAGGCAGCACAGTAAAGGCTTTCCACCCCCCCACACTCCCGGCGCCATACTCCAGTTTTATAGCCAGGGCAGGCGAAGAACCCATTTTTCCGGAGAGCCTGTCTGTCCAGGAGCGAGGAGGTATCTCCCACTGCCCGTTTCCTCATGTAATGTACCTTCCCTTGCTGAGGAAGGGAGTAAAAAATACCCAAGACCTCCTCCAAGTCCACATATAGATCTGGCCACCAGGTCCACAATGCGCTAGCCGGGTTCGTAGTCAGGTTCCATTCCTCATGGGTGTCTCTGTTTCTCAGGACCCAGGTTTGCTGGTAGGGCTGATGAGGGCTTCCGGCCGACCATACTGGAATGACGACCACTAGGAACACCCCTAGGAGGTAGATGCACCAGCGAGTGCGCGGCTCCTGTGTCCAGAAGCACCTCGTACCAGCCAGAGCTTGAGGGGATTTGAAGGATGGCCCGGCTGAGGCTGAGGCTGTAGGGCACTTCCCTCCTCGTCTCCTGCAGTTCCTGCTGGTCGGACTTGGGAATGGTGAACCCATGGCCCGATTCCATCAACCTTCAAGGCAGTGGGGGTGGTATAAAGAACAACATAAGGACCCTTCCATCGGGGCTCCAGATTTCTAACATTGTGTCCCTTCACCCAAACTCTATCCCCTGGCACCAGTCTGTGCTCCGGTCCCTCCCCCTCCCTTTCGTGATATGCCTTGACCAGCGGCCATATCTGCTGGTGCACTCGGGATAGAGTCTGCAGGACTGTCAGGTAGTCCGGGTGCACAACAACTTCCCCTGGCGGAGCCAGAGTCCTTCGCGTGATGGGTGGGGGTGCCCCATAGAGGATTTCAAAAGGTGTTAACCCATGTACATAGGGAGTGTTCCTCAGCTCGGAAAATCGCGAGGGGTAGGAGTGTCACCCAGTCCCCGCCAGTCTCGAGAGCCAATTTAGTCAAGGTCTCCTTCAGGGTCCGATTCATCCTCTCTACTTGCCCAGAGCTCTGGGGATTATATTCACAATGTAATTTCCAATCAGTTCCCATAGCTTGGGCTAGGCCTTGCAGGACCTTGCTAACAAAGCCGGGCCGTTGTCTGACCCGATCGAGTCAGGGACGCCATATCGGGGTATGATCTCTTCTAGCAGGACCTTAGCTACCACCCGACTAGTCTCGTGCTTTGTTGGGAAAGCTTCCACCCAGCCCGAAAAGGTGTCTATCAGAACTAGCAGATACCGATACCCATACTTGCCTGGCTTAACCTCTGTAAAATCTGCCTTCCAACTCCTCCCCGGACTCCTCCCCGCTTCCCTGCTACCTGTATGCATGCCCCTCCGCATGGCCGGTCTCATCTGGGCGCAGACAGTACAGGCGTCAGTGATCTGCTGCAGGCTTGCGGTCATAGCAGGGTACACCAGGCGCGCAGCCGTGAGTAGCTCCGCTAGCTTCCGGCGCCCCAGGTGAGAGGTCCGATGAATGTTGCTAGCCAGGAATTCGCCTAGCTGGCGAGGGAGAATTATGGCCCCGTCCGGACTTCGGTGCCACGTCCTGGGGTCTCTAGCCATGGCTGTGGGCCACTGTCTTTGTATCCAGTCCAGGTCTGTGGGGGAGTATTGAGGCTCCGACGGCAGTTTGGGGAGTTCTGGCATTGGCAGGGAAAGGGTCATGGCGGGAGTGCTCTCCATAGCCTCTCTCTGGGCTTCCGTGTCCGCTCGACGATTCCCTACAGCGTCTGGGTTGTCCCCCTTTTGGTGCCCAGGGACATGGATGACGGCTACCTCCCTTGGTTTGTCCACTGCCATTAAGAGACGCTCTAGTCCAGACGACCGCTGGACTAGAGCTGTTACCGACTGGATTCCACGGGATGTCAAAAGACTGTGTGGCCGCCCACCTTCCAGATGGTCAGACTTCTTAGTCAAGATCATGAACGATCGGTTTGAGGCCCTTCATGTTCCTGGAGCGAACAGATGCCATTGGGTTACACTAGCACGCGACAGGGACAAATGGAGATGTTACTGGTGCCTGCTCGAGCAAATCGACGACTAACGGGAAGTTAAGTGATTAAGTGATTAAGAGACGCTGGACCTCTGCCAGATTCTTGAGCTCCTGTCCGTTAGAAGTCTGGAATCCCCGTTCTCGGTAGATGGCGCCATGGACATGCAGGGTGGCGAAGGCATAGCGACTGTCCGTATATATGTTAACCCGCTTCCCTTCTGCGCGTTCCAAGGCTTCTGTTAAGGCCATCAGTTCGGCCTTCTGGGCTGAGGGTCCAGGGGGCAGGGCGCTGCTCCATACCACCACCCCTTCATGGTCCACCACCGCGGCCCCCGCTCTTCTTACCCCTTGTAGCACAAAGCTGCTTCCGTCCGTATACCAGTTCAAGGGGCAGTTTTCCAATAGTATGTCCTTCAGGCCTGGCCTTGCCTGGGAAATCTCAGCCAATATTTCAAGGCACTGGTGACTGGGCGAGACTGCGTCCGGTTCGGGCAGCAGGCTGGCGGGGCTCAAGGTGGATGGGCTGGCAAAAACAATGCGGGGACTATCTAATAAAAGTCCTTGATAATGGGTGAGGCGGGCGTTGGTTATCCATTTCCCTGGCGGCTGTTTCAGGATCCCTTCAATCGGGTGCGGGGTAACTATGTGGAGCTCCTGCCCGAAAGTCAGCTTGTCAGCGTCTCTGACCAAGAGGGCTACTGCTGCAATTACTCTGAGACACGGTGGCCACCCAGCCGCAACCGCATCTAGCCGCTTTGAGAGGTAGGCCACTGGCCTTCGCCAAGGGCCCAGCTTCTGCGTCAGTACCCCTTTAGCTATCCCTTTCCTTTCGTCCACATAGATGGTAAATGGCTTGGAAGGGTCAGGCAGGGCTAGGGCCGGGGCCTGCAATAACGCGACTCGGAGACGTTCAAAAGTGGCCTGGTGACTCTCTGTCCATTCCCAATCCCGAGTCTCTTTGGTGGCCTCATACAGGGGTTTTGCAATCTCAGCAAAATTGGGGATCCAGAGTCTACAGTATCCAGCCGACCCTAGAAACTCCCTCACTTTCCTTGCAGATGTTGGGGTGGGGATATGGAGGACGGTCTGTTTCATTTCCTCTGTTAACCATCGCGCCCCTCCTTCTAGCTGATAGCCCAAGTATGCCAGGAGACTGATAGCCCAACATACTTGGGCTATCAGTCTCCTGGCATATTTGAGCCTTCTTTGCACTCGCCCTATACCCCAGTTCCCCCAGGAGGGCGAGAAGCTGCCCTGTAGCCCATCTACAGCTCTCCTGGGTGGGGGCCGCCAGCAGCAAGTCATCTACATACTGCAGCAATGTTATCTCCTCATGTGCTTGTCAAAAGGGCTCGAGATCCTGGCTAAGGACCTCATTGAACAGGGTCGGAGAGTTCTTAAATCCTTGGGGCAACCTCGTCCAGGTTAACTGTCTCACCTTCCCCTCCTCCTGCCATTCGAATGCAAAAAGCAACTGGCTGCTCTCAGTCAGGGGTATGCTAAAGAAGGCGTCCTTTAGATCCAGGGTGGTGTACCATTTAAGAGAGGGCGCTAAATGGCTCAGGAGGGTGTAGGGGTTTGGCACCGTCCGGTGGATGTCCTCCACTCTCTCATTCACCTTCCTCAAGTCCTGCACTGGACGGTAATCTGAGATACCAGGCTTCCTGACAGGCAGGAGAGGGGTGTTCCAAGCTGAGTGACACTGTCTCAAAACCCCCTCTTTCAAAAGTCTGTGGATATGCGGGGAGATGCCACGCCTGGCTGCTTCTGGTATTGGGTACTGTCATACCCTGACCGGCTGGGCGGAAGCTTTGAGCCCCACCACTACTGGTGGAACATGTCTGGCGAGACCGATGCCTGTCACTTTGGCCCATGCGGAGGGGTATTTCTTCAACCAATATGCCATCGTCCCCCTCACACTATCCTCCCCCAAGTTCCTGAATAATCTGTGTTCATCACGTACCGAGAGTGTTAGGACATGTAGAGGAGCCCCTTCCCCATCCATAACCTTAATCCCATCAGGGTCAAAGTGGATCCGGGCTCTAACTTTGGTCAATAAATCCCTCCCCAGAAGGGGGGCCGGGCTGTCGGGCACCACTAGGAATGAATGAGTGACCTGATGTTTCCCTACATGCACCTGGCGGTTGCTGGTCCAAGGGTAGATTTTTGATCCTGTGGCCCCCTGGACTAGACTGGTTTTGTTAGGTTTAAGTTTCCCCATGGCCTGATTCAGGACTGAGTATTGGGCCCCTGTGTCTACCATAAACCCCACTGGTTTCCCCTCCACACAAACAGTTACCCAAGACTCGGGGAGGGGAGCCGAGTCCCGTCCCCTTCAGTCCTCCTCCTCCTCAGCTACTAGAATTTTGGCCCTATCTTTAGCAGTCTTCCCCTCCCCATCTTCTTGTCTCCTTCCCCACCCTTCCTGCTTCTTCCCGCGATATGGGCACTCATGCTTCCAGTGCCCGCTTTCCTTACAATAGGCACACTGATCCCTACCTAGGCCTGGTCTGCTAGGCGGCCCTCTCCCTTTGGGCTGGCTCCCTACGCTTGCCAGAAGGATCCTAGTAAGTTCTTTCTGACTTCCGATTTTCCCTACTCTGGAATTCCCGATCCTTTTTTCTCTGTCTCTCCTGCCTGTCCCTGTCCTCCTGCCTCAACCGATCCTCTTTTTCTTCCTTACTCTCCCTAGAGTTGTATACCCTCTCGGCAACATGCAGCATCTCCTGGAGGGTCATGCTACCCAGGTTTTCCCGGGAATTTAACTTCCTTCTTATGTCAGGGGCTGCCTGGCTAATGAAGGAGAGCAACACTGCTGAGCGGTGTAGGTCAGCCTCAGGGTCAATGGGAGTATACTGCCGGTAGGCATCATACAATCGCTCAAGAAATGCGGCTGGGCTTTCGGTTTCCCCTTGGACAACAGCTTTTACCTTGGCGGAATTTGTGGGCCGTCTAGCGGCCGCTCGGAGACCGGCCATGAGAGTCTGGCGGTATACTCGGAGACGCTCCCTACCTTCTGCCGTCCCAAAATCCCAGTTAGGTCGGCTGAGCGGGAACGCCGCCTCGATGAGGTCAGGTAGGATGGTGGGCCGCCCATCATCTCCCGCCATCTTTCGAGCTTCAACGAGGATGCGCTCCCTCTCCTCAGTCGTGAAGAGAGTTCGGATGAGTTGCTGGCAGTCGTCCCATGTGGGACAGTGGGTGTTCATGATGGACTCCACGAGACCTATGAGACCCTTTGGATCCACAGAAAAAGGAGGGTTCTGGATTTTCCAATTATATAGATCGCTAGATGAAAAGGGCCAATACTGATACTGTTGGCCACCTGGGTGGCCAATTGCTCTCACAGGGAACAAAGAAACAGAATGGGGGCCTGGTCCGGAACTAGAGACAGGATCTCCCATCTCGGCCGGAGGTTTCCACGTGGACGAAGCCGTCGGCTAGGGCCGACATCCTGAGTAGAGTCTGCAGCCGGACCAGGGGCTGCTGCCAGGTCAGGGATGGGGACATAAGGAGGAGGTCTTATCTCGGTGTCAAAGTCTGTGAGGGGAGGATAAAGCGAGTCAGAGAGGACCGCCGGTGGAGGATTGGGTTCCCAGGAAGGGTTTAGGATTGCTTCAATGGCCTCAACAGCTCTATCTCGGATTTCCTTCTCCCGTGGCTTCAGGGTGCAGTCTGCTGCCCCCCTTAGGGCCACGGCTGCCTTAGCATGAATCTCTTTCTCTGCTTCCTTCTGAAGGGCCAAGATAGGACAGGCGGCAGGATCCCGAAAGGCTGGAAGAACAGGTGCCGGAGGAGCAACGGGAGGGGGAACAGGCGCTGGAGAAAAGGATAAGAAGGGACCGAGCCATTGGGGAGGTTCTTCTAGGAGAAATTCCCACGTAAGAACATAAGGTAGTTGATCAGGATGCCCACGGGCTCCCGGGCGGGTAACGACTTCTTTTACCCGTGTCACGAGGTTTGGTGAAAAGGAACCTTGTGGGGGCCAGCCCACCCTGAAAGCAGGCCAGTCTGATGAACAACAAGTGTTGAAATTACCTTTCTTTATCATGAGACCCATATGCTGGGCTTTCTTTTGGACCTCAGAGAAGTGGCTAAGAATTAAGGCTTTGGGGGTCGATTGATTCTGACCCATATTAAACAATCTTAATAAACAGAACTAAGAGAAGGATAATAAGACAAATACACACACTAAGGACACACGCACAGATCACACTCCTGCACTCGCTCGGACCGGTCCACTCTCTCACACGGGTGCACGCCACACTCACCAGTCACCCTGGGACTCCCGAATATGCCCAAACGGCGTGCACGTGATTTTCACCTTCGGAGGGTTTGGTTCTTCCAGGTCTTCTCCCGGCGCCGTATTTTCCAGAACAGATGAGGCCTCCAGAACAGATGAGGGCTCGAGGAAACCCTATGTCCCCCCAAGTCCTCCCAGTCAGGGTTGGCCACTTCCCTGCTGCGGTCCAGAAGGGGACACCGTCCCCCCACAGAACAGATGGAATATTCCCCAGAAAAAAAAAATTTTTTTTTAAGGCCTTTTCAAAACCCGCTCTCTGGGCCCATTTGCCGTCGGGAGATCTCGCTGGGGCCTCCAAATGTTAGGGCGCAGATCATGATCTCCCTTTAACGACAAAGAGACTCCAGAGACTGCAAACAGCAAGCAAGGTTTATTGTAAGACTGGCTAGCCAGGGTCAAGCCGCCTACACAGACACGCAGGTCAGTTAGGTGAGGCAAGACCCCGAACTTCTTCAAAGGGGATCTTATATAGGCCTTCACTGGCCATTACAGCAAATATTTCAAAGGAAACCTAAATTGTATTAAACATTTTTTTGTATTTTTTCAAAGAAAATGTGTCTAAAATAAATTAACTTTTTTACTTATAGTTATTGAGTAGATACAGGGCTCTTGATCTAAATGTCAATGATTCTTCATTTATTTATTTTTTTAAAAAATTTTATTAGTGAAACACCATGAGGTACAGTTGTGGACTTACAAGTTTTTGCGTTTGGGTTTAAGTTATACAATGATCAAATACCCATCCCTCCACCAGTGCCCATTCTTCACCACCAATGATCCCAGTATCCCTCCCACCCCACCCCCATCCCTCCACCCCATCCTGCCTCTGTGGCAGAGCATTCCCTTTTGTTGTCTCTCACCTTTTGGTTGCTGAGGTTTGCAAAAGAGACATTGAGTGGCAATCATGTTTGGTCTATAGTCTACTTTCAGCATACATCTCCCATGTTGGGAGGATCCTCCCAACACCCTTTAATTGGCATTCCCTTCTCTATCTTAGCTGCTTTTCCCCCTAGAATGTGCAGCTGACCTTCAAACCATGGAGTGAACCTCCTGGTACTTATCTCGACTATTCTTGGATATTAGTCCCCTATTTTGTTATTTTATATTCCCCAGATGAATGCTATCTTTCTATGACTATCCCTCTCTTTCTGTCTCATTTCACTTAGCACGGTACTTTCCATGTAGTACCACTTGTATGTAAATTTCATGACTTTATCTTTTCTAACAGCTGCATAGTACTCCACTGTGCTGATGTACCAAAGTTTTTTTTCTTTCTTTCTTTTTTTTTGGGTCACACCCAGCGACGCACAGGGGTTACTCCTGGATCTGCACTCAGGAATGACTCCTGGCGGTGCTCGGGGGACCATATGGGATGCTAGGAATCGAACCCGGATCAACCATGTGCAAGGCAAACGCCCTACCCACTGTGCTATCGCTCCAGCCCCCCAAAGTTTCTTTAACCAGTCATCTGTTCTCGGGATTCTTTAACCCAATGAGTAATACAGAGTTTATTCCCTAATAAATGTTGATTAATTCTCTGTGGAATTTTCTGGTTTTTCATGAACTAATTAACAAATCATCAGTTACTGATGACATTTTTCATAATTTATTTTTTATTGAGTTAATATTGTTTGCAAATGCTTAATTTGCAAATTCCAGTAGGCGGGGGTCACACCCACCACCTGGCCCCCTGGCGCCGTGTAATCCCATCAGCGGCCAAGACTCAGAGACTATAAAATCCAGATCCCGGAACCACGCGGCCGCATTTGCGGCCGCATGACATCTTATCAAAACTTTTTTTTTATGACATCTTATTGTCTCATTACTACTTTGGACAAACTTGCAGGCTATCGAATGTAGCCTGCCCACAGGGCAGAGTCTGGCAAACTCCCCGTGGCGTACCAAATATGCCAGATACCAGTAACAATGATGGGTCTCATTCTCCTAAATAGCCTTGAATATAATCTCAGGGCTAGGATGAAAGAGACGTTACTGGGGCCTGCTCGAGGCAATCGACGAATAACAGGATGATGAAATGAAATGAAAATGAAATGCTTAATATGTTGCCACACTATCCTCACCATCAAATTGCACTTTCCCCTATACTACAGTCCAACAGTTCTCTCTACTACTCCTTTGGAAATATTAATTTTTTCAGGGTTGTTTTTTGTTGGACATTGTGTGTATTTTCTCTGTTTATTGTAGCATATATGCTTAAGATACCTTGTTATTTTCCTTTATTCTAACATACGTCAGTTATCATGATCTTATAGTTCTTTACATTTTGCAGGCAAGCTTACTTCTTTTCTAATTGTTTTAATAATGTTCTGTTATATATATATATAGCACATCTTTTTTATATAGCATATCTTCATTTATTGTCAGTGTGCACTTGGGCTGCTTGTAGATCTTTGTTATTTTAAGTAGCAGTGCATTTGGCTCATATGTAAGCTCAATTCTTAGTTTTCTGAGGAATGTTTATATCGTCCTCCAAAAAGGGTGGACCAGCTAGTATTCCCACCAGAAGTGAACAAAGTCCTTTTCCTCCCACATCCTTGCTATTACTAGTTGTTGCTCTGTTTGATACATGCCAATCTCTCTGGTATGAGTTGACGTCTTAATGTTGTTTTTGTGTGTCTGTCTTAATGTGTTTCCCTGACGGTTAGTGATGTAAATCATTTTTTCCCCCATATGCCTTCTCATCATTTTGTACTTCCTTGAGAATATTTATGTTGGTCTCTGCTCTACATTTTGTGATAGTGTTGGATATTTATTTCTTGTTGAGTTCTACCAGTGCTTTATATATCTTGGATATTAGCCTTTTGTTGGATGAGTGGAGGGCAAATAGTTCTCCTAGTCTGTGAGCTGTGCTTGGATTCTGGTCATTGTTTTCTTTGAGGTGAAGAAACTTGTTAATTTAATGTAGCTCCATTTGTTTATATTTGCTTCTGCTTGCTTGGCCAGTGGTGTTTTGTCCTTGAAGATGCCTTTAGCTTCAATGTCAGAGAGTTCTATTTATATTTTCCTTTATGTACCTTTAAAGTTAGGTTTGATATCATGGTCTTTAATCCATTTTGATTTGACTTTTGAGCAGGGAATCAGAAAGAGAACTGAGTTATTATGTGTGTGTGTTGTGTGTGTGTGTGTAAGGCCAACCAGTTTTTTCAGCACCACTTGTTTAAAAAAACAAATTTTACTTTACTGTCACTGTCACTGTCCTCCCATTGTTCATCAATTTGCTTGAGCGGTCCCAGTAACGTCTCAATTGTGACAATTGTTACTGTGTTTGGCATATCGAATACATCACGGGTAGTTTGCCAGACTTTGCCATGCAGGTGAGATACTCTCGGTAGCTTGCCGGGCTCTCCGAGAGGGGCGGAGGAATCGAACTCAGGTCAGCCATGTTGGTTGCGTGCAAGGCAAACACCCGCTGTGTAAATAAAATTTCTATTTTATCACACTCTCATTAACAACCTAGATATATTCATTTGAAAAAAAAAAAACCTCTGCAAATTTGGTACTCAAGAAAAAGCTTAGTATTTTTTTTCCTTTAAAGTTTTTGGGTCTCAAAAACTCAGTGATTTGGCAGTGATCCCTGAGTCAGGAGTAATCCTTGAGTACTGCTTAGGGTGTCCCAAAGACAAACAAAAACAGCAGGTGCTTGTTTTGTATATAGTCTGTCTGGATTTGAGTCCAGCCATTGTATATGGTACTAAAGCACTGCCAGGAATAATCCTGGAATACAGAACCATGAGTGTTCTCTGAGCTCTTCCAGGTGTTGTCTGATCAACCTTTCCCCAGATAAAAAAAAAATTTAAGGATTTTTGATAATATAACAATACTACAAGATAACATATCCTTGAGTAGTTAAACCAAAATAAAAATAACAAAAATGCTTATCAAAAATGGAGAAACCGAGTATTACCGTGTTTATGGAGCAACTAGAACTCTCATATCAGTAAGAATGTAAAGTTCAAATATTTTAAAAATTATCTATTTGATCAATATCTATCTTATGACCCAAACAAAAAAGAGTCATGCAATCTGATCAATTAACACATCTATATACACTTTTAAAACCATCACCACAATCAAAATCAAAATAACATTATGACCCAAACATGCTACTTCTAGATATTTGCCTAAAAAAGGAATTTATGTCTGCATAAGACTGTATATGATTATTTATAGTGGTTTTTATTTGTAATAACCCCAAATGGGAAATAATCTAAGTGCTTGTCAACAAGTAACTGAATAAACTTGTGAGTATTACATGGCAATAAAAAGGAAATTAACATTGACACATACAATGATATATGCAATAAGATAGATGAATCTTAAAATTATTACGCTGAGCAAAAGAATTCAAACCATGAAGATTACCGTATGCTAAGTAATTAATTTAAATAAAAATCCCAAAATAATTTATTAGTTTCATTGATACAAACTAATCTGTAGTACATGAAATCAACTCAGTGGTACACTTGGGATTGGGGAAAGGAGGTGTGCCATACAAAGAAAACTTTATAAAACTATTTGGGATGATGGAAAATGTTATATTGATTGCGGTGATTTTTTTTTTTCTTTTTGAGTCACACCCGGCGATGCACAGGGGTTCCTCCTGGCTCTGCACTCAGGAATTACCCCTGGCAGTGCTCAGGGAACCATCTGGGATGCTGGGAATTGAACCCA